GCACATTGCAGCTGTCCGTGGAGGAATGTACTGATTGGTCATAACTAGAGATGCACCGATTGCAATTTTCTTGGCCGATGCCGATTTTTTTGTTAGTGTGATCTGCCGATACCGATTTTTGCCGATTCCGATTTTCTTTTCTAAGAACTATAATTGATAGCATATACAAACAAAAATATACTTTTCTTCAACGCAAAGTTTTATCGGCATTTATACCTGGTCTTTCCACGATCGGATAGCTATCCGATCAGAAAAAAACGCATCAAGTGACCAGGTGTAAACAGGCCCATGTTACACAACATGCGTTCTCTTTCTCAACTATTTAACGTTCCAAAACTGCCTGCGTTTAGTGCGGATTGTGCGCTCCACTAATATAGATCAGTGGTGGTGCACGCGCTTTTGGTATAAGCGCAAAACCTGCGGGAATGACTAAAATAATGTGCAATACAAGCATTTAACCGGAGCGAATGAGACGTGTGTGAGAGAGAAGGGGTCGTCGGAGAGAAGAGAGCGGCCGATCATGAGGAAAATCGGCCGATTCCGATCCCTGGCCGATCGATCGGTGCATCTCTAGTCATAGCATAATATAAGCAAAATCAGCTGACATTCATCTTGTTTGGAGACACAGGCAGGCTTAACTTGAGGGATTGGCCACAGTCCAGCTCAATACAGTAGAGGTAATTCATCTGCAGCCAACACCATCCGGTTGAATTTCGCTATTTATAATCATTAAATGTTAAAACAAGCAGGGACTGTACTTTGAGGTCTATGTAATTCCTTATGAAATGCAATCTAGAAGGCCAGTCAATCATTTCCATTACAAACCACATCTGAATGACAGCGAGAGGACTGAAGAAGATCTCAAGAGAAGAACAGAGAGGGTCAGAATGTCAGCTGGATTAACTGAATTAGTGCTACCCCTATAATTACTTGAGGTGTGGGTGAGTTTCAGCTCTCGGCTATGGAGAGGAGAGGCGTTCTTGGCACAAGACACATATAAATGCTATTTCGCAAGCTGTTCCCATACTTCCTTTCATAAGGACGGTTAGTCATGTTCAATAGGCTAAATATTTGACAGGGCTCAACAATAAGAATGGCCTGATGGCCCAGGGCCAGTGTAAGAGTTTTGGGTCAGTATAATTTATAGGTATTCTTGCTCGAAAACCTCAATAATTAATTTTAGGTTTAATAAATAATTAATAAATAATTTTAATAAAAAATAAAATAAAATAAATCATATCATTTTATATATTGGGGCCAGTTTTAGATATAAGTCAGTGAAAACAAACAAACAAAAAATTGATTATTGCTAATTTATTTTATAATATTTTATTTTTTGCAAAACAATTAAATAAAATAAACATATACATATATAGCAAATTTTACAAATGCAATAAAAATTTTTTATATTTAATTAAAATATCTTTATCATTTATTTAATAGAAGAAAAAAAATGTATTTCAATTTTTAACTACTGGCTTATCTAATAAAACTCAAAATAAAAGACAAAATTCCATATTGTTGAGCAAATTTAATAAAGATGTTTTTGGTTTTTATTTATTTATTTTATTTAGAATTTTTTTTTAAACAATTATTAAAAAATATAATTAAAAGTTATCATTTTATGAGGTGGAGCCATTAGACATATTGGCAAAGCAAGTACAAAACTACTAGCCTGAGTCCAACTAAGCCAGCAGACAAAATCCTTATTGTTGAGCACTAGAAGGCTTTAAAAAAAAAAACAGACAGCCACTGAGATGAAACCACTCACGTAGGGCTTTTGAAGTTGCATTGACCTGAAGCATTCAGTGCTGTGCCATTGTTCCAGTAACATTACAGTATAAGAGAATTACATGTCAAGCTTGCTATCAATTAGACCATTATGTATCTACTTGGCTTTAATGAGTACTGCTACTGCATATTTCCTTTAGAGACAGAAAATGGAACTCATAAATCCATTTGGCTACATGCAGCCCTTGGTTAACAACCACAGGGGGATTCATTATTTGTGCTTGATTTCTGAATGGACTTGCCATGGAGAGCAGCGTCAAAGCGTCCACCCAGCTCCCCCTGCGCACTCCAAATTAGTCAATTAGGAGTGTCATTAAAGTAGTGGCAGCGAGGAGGATTAACACCAGGGGAAATAAAAGAGACGGTCTGCCTTGTGCTTGCCCAGGATATTGCCGATTTCCATCCATCAGCTGCTCCAGATGGGGGGATATTAGTAATTTAGATTCTGTCAACAGCACCCAGGAGAACCTTGCCAAAATCGTTCCCTCATCACCGCCCTGCTCTCCTTGAATGTAATCATATCTGCCGAGTGCTAAGCGAGGACAAAAAAAAAATTTTTCTACCCAAATCCCTCTATTCATTCCAATCAATGCAGCGTTACAATTGACTGGAGGATTTCTATTCATTATAGCTCCCTTGTTCTCAGATACAGAGAGCTACTTCCTTGTCGAGTAATGCAAGAATAACGTCAAAATCTCATGTTATAAAAACAGTTTTAAGGGTCAGTGCTTGTGTGCATGCGCGTGTGCACATTTCGTTTGAAATAACACTGTAAGAAGACCGTTGCACATGGAGAGACACAGGCTGGAGAACACAATGGCCCGATGTCTTTCAACTGGCTTTCATAAGGATAAGGTCAGTGAATGTTTTGTACCTGCAGGGCAGCTCTCAATAATAAGACTCTATAATGTATGTGTGTGTGCATTCAGGAAGGACATTAATTCGTACTTTTCTGTTATTGCGTAAAAAAAAAAATCTAATTTAATTTGGCGATGTATCTCTTTTTCATTGTGCTTTAGGTGGGTGCAGAAATCTGAGGCTGAAGCTGATGCTATTCATTATTTATTTATCATTCCTGGCATCCAGCACTGTAAAAAATGTTTTGTCAGGCTACCTAAAAATGTGCTTCATGTGGTAACGTCTAAATCAATCTGACAACATCCAGTTACACCAACGAACGTCCTTTTTGAGGGTCAGATCTGCTGGAAATTGCTCCCTAAGTAACAACAACAGTTTCAGTTTTTAGTGTGTCATTAAAATCAGGATAAGGATAAGATCGGCAGACGTTAAAGAGGTTCATCCAAAAATAAAATTGATAATGAATTATTAATTACTCTGCTTAATGTGGTGTCAAACTCTCATTTTGATGCTATCTTTATTAGACACAAAAAATAGCTTTTAAAGATGACAAGTGCTGCTGTCTAGCTCCAAAAAGGATGTAAAAGTACTATAAAGCACTATAAAAAGCACTCAATTTCATATCTTCTGAGACGGATTAACAAAACTATTAGACAAAACTACTTTTTAAAGGGATCATATGACGTTGCTAAAAAGAACATTATTTTGTGTATTTGGTGTAATGCAATGTGTTTATGCGGTTTAAGGTTCAAAAAACACATTATTTTCCATATAATGTACATTATCCTCTATGCCCCGCCTTTCTGAAACGCGTCGATTTTTACAAAGCTCATCGTTCTAAAAAAGCGAGATGTGTTCTGATCGGCCAGCTATCCAGTGCGTTGTGATTGGCCGAATACCTCAAGCGTGTGACGGAAATGTTACGCCCCTTAACATACTGTAATGCCGTCTCCTAGCAGGACGAGACAAAAACATTAAAACCCATTACAAATGAGGCATTTGTTGCATCCAGTGGGGACATAATTACTGATTATAATGACTTATACTGTCTTTTTATGCGTTGCGTTGCGTATCGCGCTGCGTAAACATAAAACCATGTCTGCATTTGTGATCGGAGAAATGACAAACAACAAGCCTACTCTACACTGCTCAAAACTCGCGTTTGAATCATCAGTGGCAAATTATTTAAATATAAAAAACGTACTTACAGGCTGTGAGTCAGAAGCGCCAGACTGTCCTTGCAAAGTTGGAACTGCAAAACTTTATAGAAACAGCCATTGTGCCACAGACGCATTGTAGTCTACTCTCCCAGGAAACAGTCCTCATCCTCCATAAAATGCGCAGCACACATCTGAATATTTGGGTTGAACTGTTCTGGAACAGTGTTGTAAATACAACTTAACCACTGATTTCTAGTCGTGTCTAACTTTTATAAAGAATATCTCTTTGGATTTGAGACTTTAGTCTTTGCAACTTTACAGATCTTCTTTATGCACCAAGAGCTTGTAACACTCCAAAGAGAAAGGAATAATTGAAATCGCATCATATGACCCCTTTAACTGCTACTTTCTGCTAAGAATGAGTTAGTATAACTTAAGACAAAGTTAGGAATATTACATTTCTTAAGAATGCTTTCTTTTTCCTTATTATTATCTTTGTTCTAAAAACAAAACTTAAGAATCTGAATTCCTGAAAAGAATATAAAAAAATGCAAAACCAAGTGCTGAACTTCCATCATGCCAGTTAACTGTGTGATTATAACATAATCAGAATTATAACACAATCTTTTCTGTCATCAAGAATTAAAAAAAATATATTTTAGGGACATTTTTATGAACTTATTAGAATCTATCTTAAGACATTTCTTAACTACTTCTTTAAGAAGATTGTGAAACTGGCCCATGAAGCCACACAATAGCTTTTTATGATGAACAAACCAAAATTTAAGTCTTTATATACGCTGATGATCCTCAACCGCAGCTCTCAAATATGACACCTATGGTACAGGTTTGAAGTCACTATGAATTTTGATATTATTGACATCCAAAATGCATCGTAGATTTGCTTTGGGAGGAAATAATAATGAATACATAATGATTTATATTGTGGTCTACAGCTTCAGAAGACATGGAATACAGTGCATGAGTATATGAAATAATTTTATGATGCTTTTTGTCCTTTTTGGAGTTTGACAGCCTGTTGATCTTTAAAAAAAAAAACTTTTTTTTGGAACATCATGAGGGTGAACAAATAAGACAGAAATTTCAGTTTTTGGTGCACCATACATTTAAGTGCAGATCAAAGTATTCAAAATACTCCGTAAGCAACATTGAATAAGAACAAAAACTCACCTCTACACACAGTCCCGTTGTCCACAGACTCATACCCGGCCTTGCACACACAGCGCCCGATAGGAACCAGCCACTCCCCATCTCCATTGCAGTACAGTTTAATGGGAACATCCACTTCCTCTCCATTAGGTACACAACTGCCCCGGGCAGACACCAGAGAGGTGCTCTCCGCACCTGACAAGGTCTCCTCAAAGATGGCCCCATTCCGAATAACTCGGGGGCATTTGCAATAGAAAACCTTCACGGCGATGAGTGACATGCATGCTCCGTAATCCTGAAAGGCCAAGTAGAAGCCTTTACGGGACACCGGCCCGAAGCTGCGTACTTCCGTGTTGATCTTCATCACACGGCCGCCCAGGTCCACCTGGGAGAAACTCTCATCGGCCGCAATGGTGTCCACCTTGATCCAAGGGTTCTCCATCCAGGCGGGATACACCTTGGTGGCTACGTCCTTGTCAGTTTCGAAGTAGTACAGATTAAAAGTCTCCTTGCAAGAGCCAGTGACGTTTGGGATGCTGCTGCAGTCTCGCACGGAGAACTTCATCTCCACGTGGATTCGTTGGGCTCCTCGCCGCTGGATGTATTTGGTGCGCACCCAGTTGTTTTGGTTGCCATTGAAGACGTTGCACACCTGGTAGGTGCGGATGGTGCTCATGTTCTCGTCGTAGCCACTCACCTCTTCCCACTGGGACCGAAGCACAGATAAAAATGTTTGATTAAGCAATGTGTGCTTCTAATAATAAAAGCATGTTTTTCATTCCATTTGCATATTTATGGAACATTCATTCGTGGTTTCGCACCATTAACGACACATTATGACATCTAAGGTAAAAATGTGCAGAAATGAGACAAATGGCATGGATTGCATTAAAAAGAATCTAATTTGGAATTCATTCAACTTCTATTTCTGCACCACTTGAGTCACGCTGAATTTGTGCGCTGAATTATTCATTTATGCTAGGTCTGATCATCTAAATTATTTCAATGAGTCTCACCCCCAAAGATGGATATATCGTCCAGCCCAGCTCTGCCGTTGCCGTCGTGGAGTCCATCAACACATCTGAAAATAAATGCATGTCAAAAACCTGTAAGTTTAAAATGTTGCCGCTAAGAGCCTTTTACTGCACGTTTGAGCATTCGTGAGGTCAATGTTCTTCAAGTCTCTTAACAGTAATTATGATGCATAATGGATAGTTTTCTGAATGTTAAATGAAGGATGACTCACACTGAGATGCAGAATAACAGGTGCCCATTTCACAGCGGTAATAGCTCGCTATTTTTGACTCTTATTGTTAATCAAATGCTACAAATGGCCATTACTAGATTGGAAGTGTTATCCATCAAAGATGATAGATCACACCATGTTCTAACATCTGCTTCCCTTCACATCTAGTTCGTAATTGCCTGGGGTGACACACAGAGTGCCTTTCTATTCAATATGGCAAATAGGACAAAATAGTTCAGAAATATGACTCTGATCTGACATTATTTAGCCAGGTACAACTGACTTCAGCACACTCCCAAAATATGAATAATGAGACTCTAGAGAGGTTTTTAGTGCAAAAGATTTTGTTGTACTGCTTTGGTCTAAGGAAGCAAAATACAAATGAACAAATTAGGAATGCTCTGATATTAACTGTCTGGCCGAAACCACTAAGCAGACAATTATTTTCAACTAATGGTCAATATAAAATTCTAAAATAGTTCTGAAATAATTTGAGTTCATGTGGAGTGGCATTTACTCTGAACTGAGCCATTCTGAGACACTGAAAACAGTGGATCATGAGCTACTTGTGTGTTAAAGAACACAGTGCCTCGCTGAGCTATGCAACTTGCAGCGCAGCAGATATTTAATTACATCACATCACAGCCTTTGCGATTTGATAAGCCATAATGGGTTTTCACGACCATGATTTGTTAGAATTCATAAAAAGTGAACGCCCAACTGGCGAGTAACACCGTTTCACATAGGTACTTGCCAATGACTGCGATTTTGAATCAGATTTGGCACTTGATGAATGAAAATCTTGGACTGACTGAGATGCTAAGAGAGTACCGTATTCGTTTAGTAATCGTTTAAGGCCAATCGGTTAAGGACAAAAATCTATGGAGTGCAGGATGATTCTTCAGTATTTCTGGTCTGTTTTCCTAGACATTTTAAATCTGTACATCTGCCAAAAATCTGTATTTTTTCAATGTTAAAGAGCATAGACAGCCTCAAAGCTAATAAACTTGAACTAAAAGTTGTAAAACCTCCCAATAATTTTGATTTTATAGGGTCCTAATCTGAAAATCCCATAAGCCAGTTGCGTGAAACATTCAGAATGGAGACGAGAAACTTTTTTTCCCCAAATATTTAGAAAAATTAGAGTACAACCATCTGTCCAAAGCTGTAATACAGTGTATAGCAGTTTATTTTCATGTATATAGGAAATGTGACTGAGCATTTCAAGTCAAGGCAACATAAACGCATCCAGTGTGACACACAGACTCCCCGTGGCATTTATGAATCGGGATTTGGCAAGTGGCAAGAGGACTTCCTGAGATCGAAGCCAGAAGCCCCATGTCACATAATCCTGGGATCCCTGTAAACACTGGCTCGATACAGCCTCAGCCATTAAGTGTCTCATTTATATTTCAGCAGCTTCTGCAGCTCAGGGGCAACCAAAGATATTTCTCTCAGGAACAGCACCATCGCTGTGGGCTTAGTGCTGTGAATGTGAGAATATGATGAGGCTGGGAGGAAAATACAAGAGGAAACAAACAATCCTCGTAGACTTTATAAGCCCACGGGCCAAACAAAAAAGCACAAAACATGATTACTAATACAGCCTCATGCACTCAAGTAAAACATCCATGCAACAATATAATGAAAACTAGTACATTAACAATTGTCTGTGCGTTGAAAGAGAAAGTTGTAGCATTTCCCAGTACTTGGTGCACTGTTTAATCAAACCCCCACTCCATCTGTCCAGGCATTCATGCAATCTCTCTCTCCCTCTCTCTCTATATTTTAATGAAAAGTAGGGCAGCGGGAGCCCAAGTCCAGTACATATAATCCTTACAGGCTGCGCTACACTCTGTATACCACTGGATTAATCCCACGGGAAACATGGTGAGTCTTCACTAGATTTTAGGTCAGCGTGCCAAGGCACAACTTTCAGTCCCACATTTTTTATTTATTCATTTCATCTCCCAGTTTGCACATGCTGAGCCGTGCCAATGCGGTAAACAGAAGAATGCATCCCAAATCCACAGATCATCATCTTCCTCATACCAAATCACTCTCTTTGGGACATTATGTTATCCATGCTATGTGTAAAATATGTATTTTAATATGTAACACAGCATGGTATTTAAATGGAGACGAATAAATCTCACATACCAATAAATAATGGCACACACAATCATAGCAAGCACGGAGGATTAAGGAATGTTGATTTTTCTGTCAAATGCTCGAACATGATAAACATAGAATCCTCCCACTTGACGTTACTACGAGTGAGAAAATATCAACAGTGAAACTTTAAGTGGAGAAATGGGTAAACACTATCAGTAACAAATCTGAACAGGCTCGGTAAACACCACTTCGGCTAAAAGAGGCTGAGAAGCTGAATACTTGAAGTCTAATTTGCTCTTGTGATGGTGCTCTTGAGAATCTACTGTATGAGCTACACTTAATGTTTTTTATGGCCACACTGTTCTTTTGTATTTCCATACGTATAAGGCTGTATGAAAAAACCTGGTTGAGACACATCTAGAACTTAATCTAGATTTAAAGTCTGTTGTCCATTGTCAATAGAGTTGCGATGCATAAAGCACCATTCATACAGGAGTCAGAAGACTTTCTGTTGGTCAATATGGTGAATTCACATCACAAACTTGAACCTGATGCAGAGGTTTAGATGAAACTGTGACCTGTGATGTCAGTAGGGCTGCCACTAACGACTAATTTTATTTAGATTAATCTATTGACTAATTTATCAATTAATCTAAATGATTAATTTCCCACAAAAAAAAATCAACAATTTTACTTAAGAATATTTTATTAAACTATATTTTATTAAACCAAATGAAATCCAAATTTCTATGAAATCCTTTTTTTAAAGCAAAAGTAAAGTGCAACATAGAGTGCAAGAAACAAATGTCCATCTCATAGTCCAAATCACTGAAATCAAAGCTCAGTATTATAGTGTAAGAATGAAACGTGTTCTAGTCTACTACTAATAAAATTATAATCAAAAAACACTTTTTAAAGGAGTATTTACCAGAAATGTTATTTACCAGAATTTATTTAGGAGAAAATGTATATGTGCAGTATTTCTTAAAATAAAAATGAAAAAAAACTCTTTTTTTTTTTTAAATAAAATCCATTAATTGGAGATGCTTTTGATTATTAAAATTTAATGGAACCATTCAGAAAATAATGGAAAACAGAATTTGGTAAAGATAAAACTGTAAAACTCAATTAATTAGACCGGCTTCTTGATTAATAAAATTTCATTTAACCATTAAAACAAAGTATAGAAAAATGAAAATGGAAAAAAACTGAATTTGGAAATAAAACGGATTTCATAGGGCCCTATAATTATAATGAATTTTTTTTTGTGGTAATAAAAATAGATGTAAGTGAACAATAGCCTTTAAAATGACTTTCTAGTTATAATAAGCCCAAACTCACAACAACATGCAGAGACGGAGTTTGAGACGCTCCACACATGTAAATGATAACAGTTCCTGTGGAACTACTGTGAACGGAGCCGCTGTGTGACGCACGTACTTAACCTACACGCATGTAAATAATTAAAGCGCATATACTGTATTAGAACTGCACCGCATATAATTAATTAAATCGTAGCGTTTGTGAATTCACAATTATGCTTAATTATGATTTTCAAATGGGTTTAATATATCATGCAGCCTTGGGAAACAGTCTAATAATGTGTTTTATGGATTCTTGTCCATGAAATTTACATTGATCTTTATGAATCATGATATTCTAATATAACAAAGATATTACTGGTTATTGTTTGCAATATGCGGTCCATTTGTAAAGATGAATCGACTGCTATTTATTTTGGTTACAATTTGGAAAGATAATCAATGCAACATTTCAACCTTTTCCACCCAAACAGGTTTTTTATTTTTGATATACAGTACATCCTCGTTTCATGATGCATTTTCTTGTCCTGATCTCCAGTGCTGGTTTCGTCTGTTTTATTCGGAAGAAGAAGCACAAACATTGCCCTTGAAACATACTAAAATATTAATGTCGAGTTAATTAAATCAAGCTTTGATCATACACGATACCCCTCACAAACTATGCAGATCCCTACCGTCTTACATTCCATTATATCAAATATTGCCAACACACGCACACATAAACACACGCAACACTGATATTATATACTGCTTATGATACCGACATACACTGGGATCCAAAAGTCTGAGACCTCTTTGAAAGTCTGGGATTCAAAATCTAATTTTAACCTGGAAATAAATAGAAAAAAGAAATGTTGACTCGAATTGAATAAGCTACTAGCTTGATCACTAATCGAATAAATTACCAAACTTATGTAGTTCATGTATATAGCTTGAGTGCTGTTGCAGTAATTTGAAAAGGAAAAAAAAGTAACCATAAACATGATTATGCAACTGAAACAGCATGTCTCCAGCACACGATGGATTCAAACAGTGCTGATAGTAATAGATATTCTAAACTGATCAATAGCTTCCATGTCCTACAGTGAGCAGCTATGACACATTGTGAACGTGTGAACTAGTGTGAGGACATGCTCAGAGTTCCACATCCAGAAACAGGACAGAGTGCATTGATCCTCTGTGCTCCAGATCTGTCAGTCAACCTGTGGGTGGGATGCTAAAACATTCACTAGACCACGCAGTGTGTCCGAGTGTAAACTCACAATCCATCTTCAAAAGAACAATAGCACCAGTCTGCAACCGATGACAAGTCTGACATATAAAAGGAAGAAAATAGTTTTGTAGTTTCACAGTAAACTTAAAGCAACAGTACACCCAAAAATAAACATTCTGTCATCA